AGGACATAAGGACCCAGGTGCATAAAAAAGGGGTTCAGGATCATCCAGAGACATGAGAAACAGTAGGCACAGGTGGAGGTGGGATTATATCATGGTGAGGAGTCCCAGGGACATGGGAAATTGTTGACATTTGAGACGAAGATTCTGGAACCTGGAGTGAAACTTAAGAGACCTGAGAAGGGGTTCCAAAGATGTGTGAAGGAGGCCCAGGGACATGGAGAAGGGGAGTTGCATATGATCAGTTCAAGGGACATGTCCCTTATCATGTCTTGGATTTGAGTGAGGGCCAGGGACATGGAAAGGGGATGCATGTATGTGAATGTGTGGCATAAGCACATGGGTAAAGGGATTCTAGGCAGGGGAAGGAATGAGGTATGGAGAAGGGGCCCACATACATGAGGAGTGGATCTAATGACATTGAGAGGCTTACTGGGTCACTGGTACGGGTCTGTGGACATGGGAATGTGACTCACATATATGAAGAGGGGACCCAGGGTCACATACAGGGGTGCCATACACACAGAAGGATCCAGGAACATAGTGGAGATACAATGATGTAATGAGGAGACCCAGAGGAAGACTTACAGTGTTTCTTAAAGAAGATCAAAGACTATAGCCTTCAATATGGATTGCATCTCAATATCAAGAAAATAGAAATCCTCACCACTGGACCAATAGGAAACATTATGACAGATGGAAAAAAGATTGAAGTTGTCACTGATTTCATCTTACTTGGATCCACAACCATCACCCTTTAGTACCAATAGTCAGGAAATCAAAAGATGAGTCACATTGGGACAATCTGTTGTCAGGGACCTCTCCAGAGTATTAACAAGCAATGATGTGTTTAAAGACTCCAGTGGACCTGGTCCCAGCCATGGTCTTCTCAGTCACCTGCTGTCATTTGAAAGTTGACCGTGACTAAGGATGATGGAAAGAGAATCGCTGCCTTTGAGTTGTGGTGTTGGAGAACAGTATTGAATATCCTATGGTATGCCAAGAGAATAAATGTGTCTTGGAGAAAGTAAAACCAGGGTGCACCTTTAAAGGCAAGGATGGTGAAACTTCTCACATATTTGGGGTATCTTGTTAGGAAGTTCAGTTCTTGGAGGACAACATGCTTGGAAAGGTGGAGGGTCCACATAAGAGAGAGTCAGCATCTTGTCAAGATAGACTGATGCTGTGACTGTAACAATGGGCTCAAGTAGGTCAGAGATGGCAAGGATGGCGCAAGGTAGGGCAGTGTTCTGATCCATCGTTCACAGTGTTGCTTTGAGTTGCAGTTGACTAAATGGCACATAACAACAACAGGGATACGGGTAGGGTACCAAGGGTAATGGTAGGGGTCTGGTAGGGAATTTGGAAAATTGGAGACCGTGCATGGCAAAGGGACTCAGCGAACTAGGGATGGGGATCCAGGCACATGGAAGAATGCACCCAAGGATGGTGATAGTGGCCCAGGGACATCCAAGGACATGTGAGTGGTCCTAGGAACTTGAACAGGAATGTGGGGATATGGAGGGGAGGCATGAGGACTTAGGGAGTAGATCATGGCAAGCTGGAAAGGCCCAGGGAAATAGGGAAAGGACCCAGGGAAATGGGGAGGGCATGCAGAGATATGAGGCAATGGTGCAAGCACATGAGAAGGAAGCCCAGGGAAATGGGAATGGGTACAGAGGTGACCTACAAACAAGGAGAAAGGGCAAGGGCAAAAGTATTCACAATCTAGGGACAGGAGATGTGGATCCTGAGATGGGAATGGCGTTTCAGGTATAAGTTGAGGGGACCACGCACAAGGTGGGGAAATCCTGGGACATATTTTTGAAGGAAAGGAATTTTTCTGTACTTACATTGGGTTAGGGATCACAAGATTTTAATGCATTTAACAATTCACACTCCAAGAGTGACTTACTGTTTGATCACCTGAAGAAAACTCAGTGGCAATTGGTTGTCAGGTGTGTTACTGGGTATCTAATAATCCCTTTCTAGTGAACATTAACTTTTCCCCACTATTATCAACAGGCACTACTATGAGGGAAGTTGCTGAGTCAAGGTAAGGTCTAATATGTAGCTAACATTTAAAGTTCCCTTCCATGAAGAGTGAGTGAGGCAGCTCTCATTCACCATGTGTGAGTGGCACCTGGTCCAAATTCCACCCAAGATTGTCTCTAGTAAGACAGGACCCTTTGCTTGTGTCCTGTCAGTTATAAGCCCTCTGCAAAAAGAGGGGCAAAATGTCTGTGTGATTTACTGCCTCTGAAAACCTGCTGGAGGGTCAGTTATGGGTTGGTCCTGACTTGCTGGTACACACCATGCAAAACAAGTGTAGCAGAGGGCATTATGCTAATCCAGCAACAGCAGCCTGAGCTCCTGTGTGAGGACATTATTACTGGAATGTATTTGGACTTTTTTACCGAGTATAGGCTCCGAGTCTGTGTAGGATGGAAGCTCTATTGTGACTATGTGGGTTTGGAGCACTGTGTTGGCACACAGTGGGGCCTTGGCCCCAGAAAGAACCACCTTCCCACACAGACTTTGCTTATTCCAGAGCCATTTAAGAGAAGTGCACTTCTTTTTTTTTT